ACTGAATTGTTGTCTCGTGGTCTTCTCCGGACCTTCAAGTTTTTCCTAATTCAGCTTAAGCTTGATTCCGCGATAAGTTGACTGGGTCAATGTGGCTCCCCCACTTTCTTCACGATTTGGGGCGCGGCCGCGGCGAGCGCGGACGAGTTGGTAGTGCCCGCGAACTGTGCGGGTAGGTTTGAAACACTCCATCAGCCACAGTTCGCGGGCACTATCGACTCGGCCGCGCCCCAAATCGTGAAGAAAGTGGAGGAGCCGGTCAATGTACTTTAGGAGTTGTAAGTAAAGTGGTCCGGCCTTTAAGTCTGCAAATTTTACCTATTTCATGGCTTTGATGTGCATGACAGGAGGCTAAGAATATAGTTCTAGGAACCCCCACCAAACAACCTTGAATAGGAAAATAATATAATTGCTTATAGTTCTTACCATTCAGCAAATAAATGGGTTTCATGCCATTTTTTAGGGAGGACATAACAAAAGTTCGTCTACTTAGTCGAGATTTGTCCCGTTGTATTCAATATTGAGCTTCTTTCAGGATAACTTTTCGCTTTTGTAAGCAAAGCGAAGCAAGCGTCGGTGTGCGGAATTTCATTGAGCGCAGAATTTTAGAACTTGGTTAGCTTTTTAAAGTTCAAATGGATAGGCTTTGTTTTCAAAAATATTAAGCTTACTCAGGGGATTTTTCTACCTTTTTCTTCAATTTCAGGAGCTCGTGTGCCATCTGTAGTTGTGTATACGCAACCTGTTCGCAATACCGTTCCTGTTATCCGTGCAGAATACGGAAATGGACGAATTGTTCAGCTGAACGCCAAGAATATGAGTATGGAAGATGTGGAACGGGATGTTAATCTCCTATATTCTCGAAGCGGTCTCCCAGTTGTAAAATTAGAATCTCCCCAGAGTGCCGCTACACCTTCTGTACAGGTATTATTATTTCTTGAATGTCTTAATTTTTTGTGTTTGCTTTCAATAGTTCTTATTACACATATATACTTATTTTGTATCGTATGGATGAACTTTTTGACTTTTTACCATTATTCTCTCGGGTACCCCCCAGGAGGCCCGTCGCGCGGCAAGAAGGCAGAGTCGGCGGACGAGTTGCAGCGCGTGATGTGCGATGTAGGACGTGCAATGGGACATCTATTTAACTTGACGCGAAATCCCTATAGTACGCGCGCGACTCGTCCGCTGACTTGCCTTCTTGCCGCGCGACGGGCCTCCTGGGGGGTACCCGATTTCTCAGTTACCCTATTTCTTCACTCCTAAGAAAAAAGGAAAGTTCAAGAAAAACAAGTTGTTATAATATATGAATGTGAGTTAGACTCCATTGAAATACTTCCTTTCACGGAGCAACTTGATTACAATGAAGCTTGTTTCGTGACGCAATCCCAAGTGTTTCGTTTCACCATACTGCGAGGGTGGGTCACGTTCCAATGGTGTCATTGTTTCTGTTACTATGGTTGCTACATGGCACATTAACTTAACACTTTGACGACAGCGCGGGACACATACGTCCCGCACTTTCACTCGGAAGAGACTTGTTTTTCTTCTAATTGTGCCTCCATTTTCATGCTTCAAGACTGGCCCTTCCTACTGTTGGATACGAAAAAATAGTTCTCTCGTTACCACTAATGAAACAGTGGTAATGGAGTTAACTGTTGGGTGGAAAATCTGGTAAAGCAGGCGAGGTGGGTAGCGCGTGCGCGCTAGAAGGGCCCGTAGTCGTCAACGTTGTTAACTGTCAAACGTCATGACATACTTTAGTACTTCCAGAGCTCCAAATTGGCGCAACTGACGCTGAGAGGGTGGGGGGGATCTCAATGTCCCCAGAATGTTGCAAACAAATCCCTTGAATGTATAATGTATTCCACAAGGTAGTTGATCAGATAAAAAAGACCGCTCAAGGGTGGTGGTTCTCTAGCAGAAGCCTGCGATCAATAAGCAAAAAAATGCACACTGCAAATTAGAGCGGCCAATTAGCAATTTTTGGGAATCTCGTGTTATGTTCCGAATTGTATTCCCTTTTTATGCCGATTGAGGTTGTCAGACAGACTGCTTGTCTCTAGGCATGACCCTTTTACTTCTTGAGTTGCCGGAAATCCCAATTTTAGTGGAGGCATGATTCACGCCCTGTCTTGTATCCCTCTTATTAGCGCAACTATTCAAGGGCGTGTGAAAAGATCCCGCCCCAATGGAATCAAGAGCTCGAAGAATTCCAAAAATCGAAAATTATCCGAACGAATAAAATTTTCCTTCTTACCTTAACAAAACGATACAATTTGATTCACAATGAAAGGTGGCGGCAGGACACAGCATGAAAATAACTATTTTCTGGTAAAGTCAGTTACAGTTTTTGAGTCCAACTTCTTCTACTATTGTTTGGTGTAACGAGGAAGTCCCTCCGCGGAGCATCCTAAGTAAAAGTTATTGGCCTGTATGCCATCCCCCTCATAAAAAGGGTGGGCGGCAAATTTTCATTTCAAGTCTTTTTGTTTTGTACCAACCAGAATGCTACAAAAAAGTGTATTCCAAGGTATGATATGTATATTGTGGTGTAATAGCAGAAAGTAGAGGCATTATTATTTATTATATTTCATTGGAAACGGTAAATGATCAGGAATTGCAACTAAACATCAGAAGAAAATCCCCGCAATGCAGCATACTTGTCATCTTTTTGGAAACGAGTAAATTTACAGGTGTTTTCCCCCTCCGGTTGCATCCAGCGTTTAGTCTTGGTATAACCAGCGTAGAATTCTAGAGTATTTATCTTGTGCTGCTGTCGATTGAACTATAAAAGCCGTTCTTTTTCAGGGCGAGTGGACACCGATGACATGGTTGTCTCCACGAGTAAATTCTGCAAAATTACCGGACCCTCAATTCTCGGAACACAAGACGAGTAAGGTAACGGCGACGGAGTTCCTTATCGAACAACAGAAACGGTTAGAAGGGTAGCATTTTGATGCTCTTGTTTTTGATTGTTATGTAATGAATAGATTTTTATGTGTTGTTCTTGCAAAAGAGGTTCTCTATGTTTCACAGGAGTTTACTGTGTGAATAGCCATTGTATAAAGTATTTGTGGTATGTTTGGATGTGCTTGACTGATGGTTGTTTTCCACATTTCCATTTTTTTATTTTTCATCGTCATTTGAAATCTTTTCTTGTGAGGTTGCTGTTATTCTTCGCAACTTCGCGGAGAGTGTGGAAAGTGCCGCAAAACCATTTGATAGTGGTATAATCGCCGCGTTGCATGTCCATAGGACGTGGCTCAGCTAGCAGTGAGACGGATGTCTTCTATAGGCCGATGTCAGACTTTGCGAATCGCGCGATTCGCTAGCGTCTGCGGTCGCGTCGCGGCCAGTGAATCACTCAATTGGCTGGTACCGCAACGCGACCGCGGACGCTAGCGAATCGCGCGATTCGCAAAGTCTGACATCGGCCTAGATTGTTTTATAGCTAGGCAGATGCTAGACTTCGCGATTCCGGCCATTTCGCGATATGGGGCGTGGGAACCATACGGTACCCTCCATTTGCATTTGACGCTACTTTCCCACGCGCTGGAATGGAATCTCTGCTGGAATCTTAAAAACACGATACTTGTTGTAGCGCGGCGATTGCGTCATCATTACAAAATTTTGCGGCGTCTTCCGCGCTATCCGTGTTGGTGCTTTGCATGAAAGTTGCATTTTAATTTTTTTCAATTTAGTTATCGTTGAAGGGTTGCCATAATGCCGATGTATCACGTGCCTCGGACAACGAGGATCATTAGATATTGGAAGAATCTGCCACGTATGCTGTTGAAAAAGTACCCGGAACAGACGATCATGTATTCGACGTTCGGTGTCGCCACTGTCATCATAGGCATCTATAAGTTCCGCAAGTATCTGAATTTGGACGAGAGACCATACTATCGTGGTTACTACGACGTTGTACGGTCTGATGATCCGCTAGCTAAGACATGGAGGAAGCCTGAAGACTATCCAGCACCGTATCTCTCAGATGGTATTGAGTATGCTTGCTGATGTAGTGCATTATTATTTGAATAGAATAAATAAATCGTAGGAGAGAATTCCTGTACTTTTATAGCATTATGCTATGGTTAACCTCTGATTATGTGAGGTATTAAACAGGCTGCGCATTTGAAAACACCGTGATGTTCAAAAGTTCATAGTAGAAAGGAAGCCTGGAACATTTCTACGAGTTTCCCTTGAACCTGATAACATTTTATGCTCAGAAGCTTTTCTGAGCCTGAATTACCACTCTCGTTCGGTCAGCTAGCCAACTCTTGATAGATTTAGTTAGATCTGTATTCTTCGCTTTGACAGATCTCGGAAAATATAGAGCATTCGGCGTCGATCAATGCGCCACGCATTCTACTTCCATTTAAAATCGTGGAGCCAATTCAAATGCGATTCGGCGTATACAATGAATTGCGGGGGTCTGCCCATCGACAAGTTAGTGTTTTATTCATCCAGGCATGTCTGATATTAATAATACGATGCCTTAGGGATGGAAGGCTGGGTTGGTTTGCACGGTTCAAGGATTTGAACTCTGGAATGCACGCAATGTATTAAGCAGGCCACTCCGCCCTTAACTATTTGATCACATTTTAAAGTTGGCCAGTAAATAAACAAACAAGGAAGTGACACATATATAACCGTGTATAATACCACCCGTTCCTTTGTGTGGTCAATTCATAACTATGTCGAGGCACATTACACAATTTTACCCACTGAGCGAGTCCTTCCGTGAGTTAAAGCTTGACAAGGAAGACGGGGCCCTTGTAACTCATGGTGAAAGTGACGGCTGTATTTACAATGTTAGTCTGCACAGTGGGCCGTGCCTTCTGTCAGCCGTCATATTTCCTGTTCCGCTTCCTTCCTCAGCGCCTTCGTCGTAGCACTGTCCA